ACTTCTAAGCTTTAGTTTTTTCCCAAAGGAAAATGAGACTGATATTATTTATGGATCAACATTGTTACAAAAATAGATTGAATTGAAGAAAGCATGGCAGATAGTAAATAAAAATATTTCTGCCCATACCCAAAATAAATAAGAAAACATAAAATCCTGCCTTCCCTACCTAGGCGCTTTGCTAATAGCAGATAGGAACTTTAGTTTCCTGCTTAAAACTAGTAACTTCCCTGCAGTTACACGTAGCCTTTCCTCTTGTCACCATCCTAATTTGGTTCCCAGATCTACATTTTCTGCCTTCTGAAGTGCCACATTTCCCCCTCTCTAGTCAGCCCCTTTCTGTCCTTTAACTTCAAGTCCTCATCAAATCTTTTCTGATCAGATCCATATGTAATATACCCAAAGCTATCTTAAAAATAAGCAATAAAACTCCTTCCTAACCTTCTGTTTCCTTCTGGCGATGTCCAATCGCTCTGATTCCTTCTCTGATGAATCTCTTGCAGGAGGCGTCTCAGTGAACTGTTTCCAACCTGTCCTCTCCTTTCCCTCTCCACTTACTGCAGTGTGGCCAGGGCCCATCACACCATTCACCACCACTGCCCTTGGTCACTGACTCTGTGACCCCTCTCAGCCCTATCTGGTTTGGCCTCTGGATAGAACTACACCCACTGGCCACTTCTCCCTTCTTGCAGTGTTTTCTTCCTGGCTTTCTGTAGTACCCAACCCTTTTATCTTTCTGGCTCTTTCATAGGCTGCTTGGTGTACATTTATTCTAAAATTATGTCCATATATATATACTTTTACTTTTAGATCATTTTTTAATGTTTCTACATATGAGAGAAAACATGTGATACTTGTCTTCTGCGACTTATTTTGCTTAACATGATGACATTCCAATTCCATTTTCCTTTAAATGATATGATTTCATTCTTCCTCATAGCTAAGTAACACCCCTTTGTGCATACACACCATATTTTCTTTATCCATTAATCTGTTGATGGATTTCTAGGCTGCTTCCATATCTTGGCCATTGGGAATAGTGCCTTGATAAGCATAGGAATGCAAGTATCTCTTTTGTATAATTTTTAGCTATCTTATTACTAGTAAACACTAGTCTTTCTAATTACTCAATAAACTTTCTTAATTCTCCCCTTCATGTATGTGGTTTCCTCTTCCTGAATTCTCCATATGCCTCTTCCTTCTTTTGTGGGGTTTCTTTGTCCTCACCTTCCTGTCACTATGTAGGAGCCTCTTCCTCCTGCAGGTCTTCCTTCCCTATTGAGAGGGACTCCAGCACCCCTGAGGATCCCTCCTTGCTCCTTGTACTTTACCTGTCATGTAACTTAAGGCCCTATGTCAGAATCACCATAACTATGCTTTCTTGCTCAGGCTGCCCTTTGATAGCAAGTGCCACGTGTGAGACCACTTTGTGTGGTCTCCCCATGCCTAACAGAACACCTGGGTTGCCCAAGGGCTGGATGAGTCAGTGGAATGGCCTCGCCATGACTTTGGATCTGGAGAGAGTATACTTTGTCTTAAGCTTTCTGCTACCTCTCATTAGTGATGTGAGATCAGGCCAGTTGCTTCTTTCAGCACCAGCTTCCTCCTCTATAGTGGAAGGAGCACACCACATTCCCGGGGCACACTCTTCAGGTGTAACCTCTGTAATCCCCGCAAAGACCCATCCACGCAGGGGCCATGATGAAAAGAGATTATCTATGTACCTGTCTAGCTTGGGGCAGACAGAATTTCCTTAGCAGTCAGTACCACAGAGGAACGCAGGAATGCGATATCTGTTCTTAGTTGAACTACATTCAACTTGATCAGGAGCTTTTACTTTGTTTAGTGAAAAAAAGCAAAATCTGATACAAATGGCAGACTTTAATTCTCTCATTCAAGGAAGTTAGTTTCTTCTGACTTAAAAACAGCAGGCTTGGACTGGGGATACAGCTCAGTGGCACACACCTGCCTGGCAAGCACAAGATCCTGAGTTTAATTCCCCGTACCAAAACAAAACAAATAAAAACAACAACAACGTCACAGGCTCTTGTGAGTCACTTCTTTCCTTTTCTGGATAAATTTAGAGATGTGGACATCCTTGTTCCCCTTTGCATCCCACTCCTTGACTACCGCAGAAAGTGTGTAAATACGGAGCACGTAGTGCCTGATCACACTCAGATGTGGAAGATAAAAAAAGCTGATCTCATAGACGTTGTGAATAGGATGGTGGTTAGCGTAAGTCAGATAGAGAGGGGAGAGAGACAGACAGAGGGAGACACACACTCAGAATATGGAGGGGGAGGGATCAGAGAATGTTAACCAAGGGATGATGAGTTGCAGTTAGGTAGAAGTAAGGAGTTTGGTGAGCTAATGTAGGGAGTTGGGGAGATTGACCATACACAGCAATACTGTAATGTGAATTTTAGAAAGCTAGAGGAAAACATTTTAAAAGGTTTTACCATCAAGACATGATAAATGTTCAAGGAATTTATATTTAACCTAATTTGAACCATACAATGAATAGATTTATAGAATATCACTGTTACCCCATCAGTATGTATAATTTTTGTGTATCAGTTGAAGCTGAATTTACTTTAAAAGCTCACACAAATAAAAGGATGGAGGTGTGTGGGAGACCCCTGGCCTGTGGGCCTCGGCTCTACCCTGGGCCCGCTGCAGAGCACCCCTGAGTCCCTCGCTTGTTGAACCAGCACCTCCTTGGCCCTCGAGGGCACTGAGCCTTTTTGAAGGTGTTTCCAGCCCCAGTGTTTTTCCTTTGCCCTTCTGCAGGAGCCCCTTGGCCTGCCAGGCATGCTGGTTCAAACTATGGAGCCCATGGAAACATCTGCATCTCCTCCATGGGGAGGCTGAGGCTCAGGATATGGGAGGGCTGCCAAAGTGAACCCCCACAGGGACCTAACAGGCAGCCACGATAAGATTTCTTCTCTAATGCAGCCCAAGACTTTGAACAATGCTTTGTACATTAGTAATTTAAAAATCATAATGGAAATGAACACGTGATTCTCAGACCACCTCTGCCTTAACATTGCCTTGTTCCTATTGAATGCTCACTTTGATTCCCATTTATTGTGAACTCACGTTCTTTTCCCAGAACTTTGACCCTGGTGTGGGAATGGAGTGGGAGGTTCCCTAAGTAGACATCTCTTTTGGTTTGAAACCATGTCTCTCTCTTCTTCTTCCTTGCACAGGAATAATTTTATTTCCATCATGCCTGATGGGAAATGGCCCAATATTACTTTCTGCTTTCTTCACACCCCATGCCTTTGAGCTGCAAGACTGTGTCCTGGGGTTGCCTGTGGCCATCGTGGCCTAATCTGATCATCCCGTGTAATTAACAGTGGTTCACCATTTACACTCTGCAATGTCCTTGGTTGGATGATAAACTGCTTAGTCACTCTACTTTTTTTTAACATAATTTAGATTCATCCCTCTAAACTTAAATCTTCTCGGGATTTAAAGCTTAACTTTGGGAGACCTATGAAAACCCCTAACTCTTGCAATGAAAGGTCTTGGCTTTTATGATTACTGTTCTAGTGGGTATTAAAATATCTATGTTGAAAGATAAAGGCAGATGATGACTTTCATAGCTGTAGAAGTAAAAAATGTTTCAAAATAGCAAAATAAAACATCTCCAAACAGCATGGCACCCATAAGCTACTGGATGATCACGGCCAGCACACTGTCCTGGTACGTACTGGTGAACATCGATTAAGCAGTTCCATGATCATTTAGATTTAAATATTGCTAGCATCTTTGTCCTCCTAGTGAATTTTTAGAAAAATTAAAATCATTACTAGAGTCATTTTTAACCAGGGCAGCACTTTTTTATTTTAGGATATATCTGTTCTTCTTCTGAGGACAGTTTACAGAAGCCCATATAGGTAGCAGTTATTTGATTAAAGAAGAGCACTTTAAAGGCTAAAATACTTATTAAAAATGTTTAAAATAAAAGCATTAAGTTAAGATGCAAACTATAAATTAGTGTTATTTCCCCTGCTGTCTTGATGTGGCAACCCTGAACATCTTGTGCTGATCTGAAGATCTGTTTGGCAATACATATGATGTTGATTCCTAAGGATGAAAAGCCATTAATCATTAAATTATCTGGAAGAGCCAGGATATAGTTCAGCAGCACAGTGCCTGCCTGGCAAGCACAAGGCTGTGAGCTTGAGCCCTGGTACAAAAAAAAAAAAAAAAATCTGGTAGAAAAATTATAGTCAATCTCAATTAAAATATGTAATTCATAGCTAAACCTTAAACACTGCACAAAATAGAACATCAAAATACAGGGCCTCAAAGCTTTTCTAACAAAGCCTGGGGATACTATATATGCAACAGAGTGATATTAAGACTGACTTTCAATAAGGGGATTTACTTGGAGAGAGAAGTAAAGAATTGGCCTTGAGACATTCACATTTCCCTCTGGTTTATCTAACTTGTTCTGGTTTGTGTATGTGCATATGTTTTTACTGTGTTGGCTTGGATTGGGGAGGGAATAGATTACAGGCATTGCTTTAGCCTAATTAGCAAAACGGGCTCAGTGGGGGCTCCAGGAATAACCATCTCTGTGTTAGGAGAGAGGCAGTAAGCACTGAGTAATGATTAGAAGTGGCTGGGCCTTATTTTGATCATAACTTTATTTTTTTTTTTTGTCTTTTTTGTTTTTATCGGTACCAGGGATTGAACTCATGACTGCCTGCTTGCAAAGCAGGCGTTTATGCCGCTGAGCTAAATCCCCAGCCCCGATTATAACTTTTTAAAACGTTCTTCCCTGGTAGTACTCTAATCTCTGAAGAAGAGGTATAGCTTGCTCTGAGGATGTCTAGCCCTAAGGGAGTAGAGTTTTCAAGGGAATGTGGAGAAGCAGCAGGCCTGGACAGTTGCGGTCCCTCAGGTTATATTACCATCTTTCTCTTTCTTCTGTAGTCCTTGAATTTAAATTTCTTTATATCTTTCTTCTTCTACCTCCACATCCACAGATGGGGTGGCTGCCTTCCGTGCTTTCCTGAAGACGGAGTTCAGTGAGGAGAACCTGGAGTTCTGGTTGGCCTGTGAAGAGTTCAAAAAGACCAGGTCTACAGCGAAGCTGGTCTCCAAGGCCCATAGGATCTTTGAAGAGTTCGTGGATGTGCAAGCTCCACGAGAGGTGGGTAGGTCTCTGCTACCATTTTGTGAGACCTCAGTCTGTGGCTTCTGGCTCTCATCTCTTTCCTTGGAGGAGTTTGAGCCAGACTTGGTGGAGACTTTCTTCTACTGAGCTAAGCTGCGGTACTCTGGTGGCCTTTAACAGATGATGATAATGATGATGTTGATGGTGATGGTAATGATGATGATAATATTGGTGGTGATGGTGGTGATTTTGTGGTGCTGGTGTCTTGTGTATGCTAGGCAAATGCTCTACTGCTCAGTACATCCCTAGCCCAAAAGGACTGGAGGCTCCGAGCACTTGTCAAAGGAGCTGTATTAGGAATATCTTCACTGTCTGTCAAACATGAACTGGCAGGAATTGTGCTGCTCCAGGGTTTTGTAAGATTAGATACCTTCAAGTCCATGTTTATTTTCCTAGCAAAAATTAGCAGTTTAATACAATAAGTATTCTCTGGGATTTTGTTCCAATCTCAGCTCCTTATTAACTTCTGTGATCAGGGTCAAGTTACTCAACCTTTCTGAGTCTCATTTGCCCTGGTGTAAAAAAGGAAATTCTATAGCTGGCGTGGTGGCTCACACCTGTAATCCTGGCACTTGGGAGGCTGAGGCTAGAGGGTTGTTGCAAATTGGAGACCAGCCTGGGCTATAAAATGAGCTCAAGGCCACCTGAACTGCATAGTCTTAAAAAGACAAAAAAAAAAAAAAAAAAAAAAAAAAGGAATAATATTACCTTTCAAGACTACTCTGAGCATTAGAGATTTTACCTACTCAATATTTGCTGCTCATTAATGAATATTTAGTTATTTATAGTATTTTATTTTAAATATGATTAATTTCTATGTATTGCTATTGTGAGTTATATTACAGAATTTCAGTTGGGAGGATTTAATTGAAGAAAAACATTTGTTGTCTGTGAGTTCAGATGCATTGTATATCTGTAAGTCTTCAGTTGTAGTTTGACTTTGTATGCATGAAGTCTTTACCAGTGGAATAAGTAGGATGCTGTAAACCCCTTATAATGCTGGTTTGAATACAGATTACATTCTAACCAGCATCTCTCTCTACAAGGTCTCTATTTCTTAGTGGTTATGAAAGGCTTACTCTGGGGAAGCTCCTTGGATTAGGAGTCCAATCCAAGGATTTGGAAATTTTTGTCTTGGTTCTGTTACTAACTTCCCATACTACTTTAGACAGTGACCTTGTTTATAAGTTGAAACTAAGAATACTCAGTCTTCAGACTTCACAAGATTCTTGCTGTGATCTCAAGAGACAGGCTTCTGAAAGCAGCTTGAAATGCCCATATGGCATTAAAAATAGAAGATGTTGTTAATGATTATTCTGTTTCTATGGCCAGCTGCCAAGTGCTTTGGTCCTTGAGGGTCTGTAACCTTGTTCTCTGTTTCTCCAGGTAAACATCGACTTCCAGACCCGAGAAGCTACAAGAAAGAATATGCAGGAACCATCCCTGACTTGCTTTGACCAAGCCCAGGGAAAAGTACACAGCCTCATGGAGAAAGACTCTTACCCCAGGTTCCTGAGGTCCAAAATGTACTTAGATTTGCTGTCCCAAAGCCAGAGGAGGCTCAGTTAAACCTCAGATGGGGATCCTTGGAAATCACTGGCTTTCCCCTCCCCTTGCTGCCAAGACCATATTCTAATGGGAAATCTCATAGCTGTTTAAAGGTGGTGGCATTTGGGGTAGGAGGCAGGGGTCAAGGAGAAAATGAAGGGCCATTCCAAAGAGTAACCCAGTTGCCAGAGTTCAGATGCTCTTCCATTTTCCCATATTTGTGTTTAAGTTAGTGGTAGCACCTTGCTGGTGTCACCCTTCTGTGGATCAACAACTTGACCTTCATAATGTCTCGGGTCATCCACTGAGAAGGCAGAGTTGCTGTGCTAGGCTAGTCTGTAAATAATGCAAATGCAGTTTCCAGTGTAAAGGCCAGCCCCAGGCACTGAGACTTCACAGTATAGGAGAGAGGTCTCTGGAATCCCAGCCTTCTGGCACTGTCATGTGGAATCCCAGGTTTCTAGTATCACTGGCAGATGTCCTCTGGGACAGGTCAAGTTCTGTAGAGTCACCTGTTTCTTCCATTTCCACTGACCAGTGTGAGAATCTGTGACCACTGCCCATCTTAGCCTAGGAAATTTATAGGTGTTCCTTACCTTTGCATTTCCTGAAAGAGTCTTGTGAGATTTCTTTCATGACTTGTGAGAGGAGCTGTCATTAAGAAAAATACAGCTTGCAAATATTCCTCAATTCTACCAGGAACTTTTCTAGATGTTTTCCAAATGACCAGGGAATGTAAAACCTGTAGATGTTTATATAATGGGGCTCCATATAACCTGTTTGTTGCTTAATGTATTCTTTACCCTCACCTCCCAGTGACAACACATATCTCTTAGAAAGACAGCTTGGCAAAGGGAGGTAAATTCCCACAGCATGACAGCTCTCCCAGTGCCTAATACACTTTCCCTGTTTGCCCATCTCCCCCATTCCATGCAGGCCATGTCATTATGATGGGGGAGAACAGGGAGCCAGGCTGATGCTTTTTCCAGCTTGCTTCCTGGGAGCTTGCTTTCTTAGAAAGGCCCCTGTTGGCTATTGAGAGTCAGCGGCCTTCTCAGTTGCTAGCCTTTGGGATTGAACATAAAATATGCAGGTGTGGATAAGAAGATCACTGTGAACATTTAACTATGGATATCTTCCTAAAATGCTTTCATGTTACCCTGCGGCCACTGTTGGAAATGTTAGGAAATTTCCTTGGAGGATGAATGATGAAGAGCACAGAACTTCCTCCAGCTGTGCAGGAAACAACTGACTACCACAAGAGCAATGTGGAGTGGATGAATCCTCAGCAGGGAAGCCGGACTGTGGAAGAGGAGCCTGGAGGATGCTGGTCTCCAGGGGATGTGGATAACAAGAATGTGGTGGAGATATTACTGGGAATTTCTGTCCGATGCATTTAGATTCCTTGCAAATCTTCAGAATTGCGTCCTTGAAGAATGTAATGGGCATGAGATTAGGCAAAGGCCTTGGAATGTGGGCAATGGAGAATGAGCCAAAGCACTGTCCTTTGGTGGGGTGCTGGACGTTTTTAGATAATGTCCCTGCATTTGCACTCCTGTCTTTGTGAATCACTTTCTTCCTTGGCTATAGCCAGACAAGGCCAAGAAGGCCCTTGGGTCCTGCTAGTGTTAGTGCCTACTTCTCCGTGTCAGCCATTGTCATCTGCAAGTGAGGGTTGGCACTTCTGGATGAACCTCTGGAAAGAGAGAAATACCTGCTTCCTGGTCCAACATTGGACAGACCTGTGGGAGTTCATTGCTTAAGTACTCTGAAGCCTCAAATAGTGTTCATAGTTAGGGCAGATAGTATCTTCCCATCCCAGTGGAAAAAAGATCCATTCTTAGCTAAAGCTGCCAGAATTAATTTAATGATTAAATTATCTAACAGGGTAATATAAATGTTGTTTACATATAAAATGTGCATCTGCTGCCAACTCTAGTGTTGAAAATGAGGTGCATATAAATTGGAACCGTGGAGTTTTGTCCTGGGGAGGTTCTTTTCTGCACTTCCACTACCCCAAGGAGGAAGGTTGGAGCAAGAGTGTTGGGTGGGATTTCATTTGGGGCCTCGAGTTCTCTTCAACGTTGGTGGAGTGAAGGCTGTCAGCGGTGGTGTTATTGCGTCTTGGTGACTCCCTCCCACAGTGGGAGGTATTCTGAATTATGTAGATAGACAAGGGCATGTGGGCATGAGCCTGTGTACAGAAGGACATGGTAGCTCTACTTATGGTACTTCTATGGAGCATCTGTGTGTGTGACAATTGTGAGCACTGGACTAACACACTCCAGGCATGATCTTCCCATGTGGGTGGCTTCCTTCCACCCTGTACATCCTGCTTCCCACAGAAGGCCCAGAGCGCCCTGCTCTGATGCCTACTTTTAGGCACTTTGGTCATGCCAACCTAGATTTTGGTCTGTAATGAAACAAAGAGAAATGTTTACAACATCTAGAGCAATATCAAACATACCTCATCCCTAAGCTTCCATGTCTCTGGGTCCTGCCCCTGTGCCCTTTTTTCTTCATAAGCCTCGTTCACTTCACGGTGGGCATTACTGGAGCTGCTTCCAAGTTCCACCTTCCTTTGCTCCTTGTGCTTGGCCTGCTCTGGGCTGGCATCTTTGTAGACTCAAGGCAAACCCAGGCAGAGTTGTGGCTTTGAGTTCCTCTCGCTATGTCTCAGTGGCATTTTGGTTCCACTGGAGTGCTAAGCTGCTTGGGGGATGGTGTGAGGTTTGCTGTTGCCTTTGCTGGACTGAATAGAACAATTATTGACAAAGGTTCACAACCCAGGGCACCTTTGGGGAAGTGTTTTATTAAACTTTTGTATGCTCTACGATCACCCCCAAAAGCCTATTACAAATGCAAATAAATGTCTCACACCGAGACATGCTGAGCTGATAGATCTGGGGCAGGGCCTAGGAATATGTATGTTTCATAAGCTCCCAGGTGTAGTGACCCCATGGTCCCGGAACAAAGATGTTCTAAGACAGTGGCTCTCAACCTGCCTATGTATTTGACTCATCTGGGGGGTGTTACAAACCAAATTGTTCAGGTCTTGCCTCAGATTAGCTGAGTCAGAGAGCCTGGTGGGACCTGGGTGGCAGCAGTCTTTCAAGCTCTGCAGGGGGGTGCCAGTGTGCAGAGGAGGTGAGGAAGCACCAGTTAAGGACTAAGGAGACGCAGGCTAAGGCAAAATATAGGGTGAGAACTCACCCAGAAGCAAAAGCACAACCAGGAAACTTGCCAGCGCTGGAAGTGGACTCTTGGGGGAGCTGCCTCTCCACCTCGCAGTCTGACTTGTTTCTTTGCGATCCAAGGGCTGGATCCGAGCCACGTGTTTCCCCTGGCAGCAGGTATGCCAAGAGCGAGCCGCAGGGGTCCTTGGTCCAGAGACGCTTCCCCATGCTTTCTGAGTCATGCGCACAGTGCTTCTCCTAGGCTTGCCTGATGGGCCAGATCGCCTTTGTTTGTTTTCTGTTTTCATGTGCTTTTGTTTTTGGTCTTTGTGCGTCAGGATGTGCTCTGTACCTAAGGCCGTGTAGCGAGGGAGTTGGAACTCAGGTAGTGAGTGAAGCCCGTTGTGGTAGTGAAAATAGCAGTAACACAACAACTTTCACATTTCTCAGCAGAGGAGGCACATTCTGGGGAATATCGGAATCTGGGAGGCTTTTCCAAGGCCATGGTGGGTTTTGGGCCCTGATCCATGCCCTCCCCATTCCCATTTTGGTCCCAGGTTGCACAGACAGCTGGGAAGCTGCCAGGTGTTTCACTCAATGGTGCTCTCACCAGATCTTGCTGCTCTGACAAACCAAAGCTGTGAAGAGGCCTTCTGCCCAGGCTGTTAGGGCTGGCCTCTGGGCGTGGCCTTTGGGCATTTCTCCTTGGCCGGGCTGGGTGGTCCAAGTACCCAAGACCTTGGTCAGTGGAGAAGCAGACACTGCTGTGAGGAAATTGTGAGCGTATTGTGCTGAGAGCTGGGGGAGGGTGGGAATGTTGGAAGAGGAAGGAGCCAGGCAGGAAAGAGGATGCCAGCCATCAAGATGCCTGCTCCTCCCCCTCCCAGAGGGAAGCTGAGCACTTTCAGAGGCAGGATGGCCTCCCACTACCACAAGCACTGGGAACTTGGCCTACTCTGTGTGTGCCCACATGCAAGCCAGGCAGAGGAGCTGCGGCTTCCCGATCTCTTCTTCAATCTGCTAGTGTCAGCCCTCTTTAAATCTGTATCTTTCTGAGTTAAAACACGAGGTGGCACTGAGTGCACATGCCACCAAGTGTGCCGCCATGCCACTGGGCACGAGACTGTGGGGAGGCCACCAACAAAGACATCTTCTGGTCCCTGTGTTGTCTCAGGACTCCACAAGATACTGGCGGCCCTGAGAGACTCCAGGCTGTGGTCATTGGTCTTCTTAAGACGGGTGTCCAGTCCCCTCAATAAATTTCCTTTCTTGATTCTTCTTTCTTTTCTGTCCTTCTGCCCCCTCCCCTCTCTCAGGCGTGGAAAAGGTGGCTGGGCACCGAGTGCCACGCCATCCACGGTAGCATTCACTGCGTCACTCGCCAGCACAACAGATTTGTAGCAGCTCATCGGCGTACACACTGCTTGGCTGATGGAGTCTCACTGAGTTGTTTCATTTCCATGCAAAGTGGAATAATGTCATTCACCTTTACCATAAACAAGGCTGTGAGAACATAATAAACAGAACCTGAACAAGCTGCCCTTCGCTCTCTGCCCACATTTCTGGCTGGCTGACTCGATGAGCAGACTCTTCTCAGGACACGTGGAGTAAGGGAACATGCAGCCTCCCCCGCAGCGGACACGGGGCTGGCCACCAGGAAAAGCAGCAGTGTGGGTGGAATCGGGGTGTGAATGGTCTGGGGCTGAGCGTGGGGGCTGGAGGATGGCTTTAGGTGACGGAGAGTCCTCTGAAACTGTAAAGTGCTCTACAAAGGCCAGGTGGTATCTTTATTTGTACCACCTACTGCTTGAAAACACAGGGAGAGAAAAGGCTGGAATGATTTGTCTATTTGTTCAGCTGGAGCAATCTGGAAATGCAGTGGGTTGCTCTTGCTTATGGCTGCACCTCACTTTACACAGCTGGCATGTTCCCATATGGTCATCAAGTCCTTGACTGTCTCTAATGATCAAGTCCCAGAGAGCAAGGCACTGTATCTGTATCTGCTGCCAAAATCGCCTTCTTCAGGTGGTGCTAAGATAGACACACAAAACCTTAATTATCCTAACAATTTAAAATGCACCACCTAAATGCTATATTTAAAGGAAAGGTGAATCATTTATGTTAAACGAAAAAGGTTTTGTTATGCAAATGATCATCCCGAGAATTCCAGTACTGTAAACAAGCAGTGAGTGGGGAGAGGTGGGCTGCTGTGAATAGGAGACCCACCCTTGGGAAGGGATATGGCTGTTTTCTTTTTTTCCAGTTTTGTTTTTCTCCTCCTACCCTTATGTCCACCTGAGGTTTCTGTTCTTTACTTCCTGAGAATGGAAAGGGCAGGTGAGACCAAGGGGCAGGAGTAGGGTGGAGTTTTACACCTAGTGTGGATATTGTCTGGAGTAGGCCAGGGCTCTTGGGGCCAGGGAGGACTCTAGTGGATCCTTCCTGGGCGCTGTCCTTTAGGAATTCTGGCTGTGGATTTGCAATGAAGGGGAACGATTCCTGCTGTAGTGGCCGGCCTGCTCCTTCCTGGACAGAGCCCAGCTCCTCTAGGCTGCAGTCTGTTTGCCTCTGTAGTTTGTCTTCTTGAATCAGTCCTGGAGAGACCTCTGCCACTCCTCTCAGAAAGCACCTGCTTGCCCACTGTGAGCGCTGGGGTCTTTTTGGTGCTGGAATTAGAAAGCAGCAACTACATTCATCTGCTTTGACACAGGGCCCCAACCAACCCGCTGCTCACTGAATTGGTTTTCTAGGCTGGAGTCTGACACCTCTCTATTGTCCTCAATGCATGCCAACCTCTCCAGGGGACCAACTGCACCTGTTCCCTCTGAGGAGAGAGGCAGGAACCTACCCTTCTTCCAGGGCTTGGGGATCACAGCACCAGAATAGCTCTCTCAACAGACCTCACAGTTCTTTGGTCCCCTGTCTCTTCCTCTACAAGACAGGTCTCTAGGGCCTTCTCCCTGGTTCGCCACCATTCCCTGGGGCATTTGGTTGGTCTGGAATCTACTTTGGAGTCTGAGCTCTCTCTCCTAAGCCCTGATAGAAACTCTTACATGTGTAAGACACTTAGCACTATGTCTGGTCTTTCACTAACACATGGCACACATGGAAAAAAAATACATTTGATTATCTAAATCAACTAAGTAGGAGCTATGGCCAGATGCAAAAAAAGGTTTGAGGCTACACCTTCCATGGAGCCCTTCTTAGCTAGGATTTATCTGCTTTTGCTTGCTTGGGCCGCTGTAACAAATTCCACAGACCAGGTGGCTTGTAAGTCTCAGAAACCTATTTCTCATCATTTTGGAGAGTAGGAATCTGAGATCAGGGTACCTAAAAGGTCGTTTTGGTGAGGGCCCTCTCTGGGTTGCAAACTGCTGTCTTCCTATTGTCCCTTAACATAACAGAAGAAGAGCAAGCTAACTGTCTGCCTTTACAAAAGGCACCAGTCCCTCATGACCTAATTGCCTCCCACAATTTCCACTTTCAAAGTGCATCACATTGGAATTTGCATTTCAGCATAAGAGCTTTTTGGACAGAGCATAAACATTCAGCTCATCTCAGTGGTTGATTTGATTCTCTGTTCAGCACATGGTGGACAAAGCCCTCAGGTTTAGGGGACATATCACAGGTGCCACCTTCCCTATTCTTGGCTCAGACCATAACATAGAGGGGTGTGGAGCCCACTCCCAGGTCACAGTGGCTGGATGTCTAGCAATGGGACTTGAAAGGCCACATTCCTAACAGGACTGCACCTTTGTTCAGGGTCACACCAGAACATGCTTTCTGATAATTTGGGCTCTGATTGATAATTTGAGCTAACTGATCTGGGCTGGAAGCAGCTTTAACCAGTACACAGTGTGCCAGCCTGAGCAAGTACTGCAATAAAAATAACTGAGTCTGCACTTGGGCTGCTGTGAACACCGAGTAGGTTAGCAAGGGAAGAATGTGGCACACAGAGGCACAGAGTATATGCCCAGTGGCATCACCAAGCAGTCAAACTACTGTGTTTCCCTGAAGTTCCCTAAGTAAGCAGCCCCAGGTGGTTGTTACTATGGTCATGGCCAGTGCCAGGCAGAAGATTGTACCTCACTTGTTCCACGGCTACTCTATCATGGCAGGAAAGGCAAGGGTAGGCTTGTCGGTGTCGCTCCCGGCCTGCAGGAAGAACACGCGACAGATTCTGACGGTGTGCAATCTTGCCTTTATTTGTCTCCGCGTGGGCCCCGCGAGGCCTCCGCTCTGCCACCAGCCCTTTCTCGCCGGTGGACTTTCTCTATCTCTCTCTGTGCTTCTTCCTCGTGGCGGGAGAGGCATTCACTTTTATAGGGTAACAGTGGCCAATCAGTTCAAAGCGCGCGATGCGGGCTGACTGGCTAACATCAGTTGTTGCTAGGCAGACTATCTTACAGAGCGGGTTGTTTAAGTCGCCAGGGCAATCAGGGGGCAGGAAGCAGGCGCCAACTTGGCTCACTCGATGGGAGGGGTAACTTAGCTCAGGCTTTGCTCTTTTCTACAGGCCTCACGTCCGCCAAGTAAAGCGACCGGTGTCGGCCGTGGCTCCCAACATCGGCTGATTGGGGCTGACATGTTTTATTGGAGGGTTAGGTCTCATTTTAAGGAAAATGTGTAGCATTTCTATCCTTAGCTCACTTGCTTCTTGGCTGAATGCAAAGGAAATACTGAAAACAGTGATATTACACAGACAGAATCCCATCCCTTCCTGCTAAACTCTAAACTCTGTGGACAGAGACTGTGTCTACCCTGTTTATTACTCTGGTCCTAGATATTTATTAAAAGACCAAACCCACCAAGTGTCTTTTCAGGCTCCTCTTACATATTAGGCACTTGGTAGGTTAGAGGTGGAAGCAAGATATCTACACCTGGGCCCTCAGAGAACTTGCTTAGTTCTCATGAGGACATAACCACTTTATAATCACTGGCATTACCAATTGAATGGTACTGACAGTAAGTGACTGCACAGTCACAAGTAGGGAAATGAATAATGTTTGGGAGCTAGGAACTTCACTGGGCAATTTTGATGCTTTGTCTACTTGGGTCCCTGAAACAATTCTATGTAGTCATGCATTAGTTTGTTAGAGCTTCCCCCCAAAATACCACACACTGAGTGCCTTAAACAGGGGAAATTTGTTGTCTCACAATTGTGGAGGCTGGAGTTCAAGGCAAAGGTGCTGGCAGAGTTGGTTTCCCCCAAGGCCTCCCTCCTCGGCTTGCAGATCACGCTTTCCTGCTGTGCCTACACGTAGTCTTTTTCCCATGCCCTTGAGCTCCTGGTGACTCTTCCTCCTCAGTCATATTGGATGAAAGCCTTGCTTTACAGTCTCTTTAACTCATTTACCACTTTACAAGGCCTATCTCCGGATTCTGAGGTTCTAGGATTTAGACTTCAATATATGAATTTTGGGAGAAGGCAACTCACCCTAACAGGTAAATACTGTTATTATCCCCACTTGTGCAATAAGAAGCTAAGGCCTGAGAGGTTTCACGACATTCCCAAGGGCACGTAAGGTGTTGGGGCAGAACTGGGTTTAGCATCCTTGAATTGTAAATCCAGAAATGGCAAGCAGTGGGGTGAAAATGGCATAAGAGGGTCGGGGATTTAGCTCAGCACAGTAAGCACCTGCCTGACAAGTGCGAGGTCCTGAGCTTCATCCCAGGTTTAAAAAAAAAAAAGGCACAGGAACAAAAGTACTACCGGTGGAGGATTGTGGGGATTCTGGAGCTAATCTGCTTGTGGGATGGGGTGAGGATACCTCAGGGCTGCTGGCTGAGGGTAAGGGTGGGAGTAGAAATGGGGTCAGTTTTCTGTCTGTCACTCGCTCAGAAGCCTGTAGAAACTGGTGGAAGATGATGGTGGTTGGAAGACATGCTGCCAAGCCCACTTGAAGCTAGATTGGCCAATTATGTGCTTAACCGTTCCTTGGCAGTGAGTACAGCCACGGGCACCTGGTTTGTTTTGTTCCTGTTCTGCCCTTTGTACTGTCTCCATTAGGACGACCCATCTGCAGCTGTCTCCCATGGCACAGTGCTTCCAGCATCCCCAGAGTGCATCTTTCTTCTTGGGGAGGCTGAATCACAGCCCTGCTCACAACCTGAAAACTCATGTTGGCTCTGTTTACTGAATCTGCCATGAGAAAGCACATCTGGGGCTGCAGGCTCCAGGCACACCCTTCACAAGGAGGGAGAAGTAGCCCTCATGCCCTCAGGCATTCATGCCAGCCTTGTGGGTACCACAGGGGCCTGAAATCACTCCAGAGCAGTGTGGGACTTGTGTGTGTATGTGTCCCTGAGAAGGTAGTTAGTCTCTCCTGGCCTCACTTTTCTTCTGGAAATGGGTAGCCAATAATGCTCACACTTCCAGGCATGTTGCTTCAAGGATTAGAGATAGATTGTGCAAAGCTCCTGAGGCAGGACCTGGTGTGATGGAGGTACTGTGAGGAGGTACTGTAAGGAGGTCGTGGTCCTGGTGAGCAGATGTCTCAACACTAGGTTTCTTGACCCCATTCGGGGTCAGAACCT